ATCACCCCAACACCCTTTGAGGTCAACCACCATCACCCCAACACCCATTAAGTTCAACCGCCATCAGCCCAACACCCTTTAAGGTCAACCACCATCAACCCAACACCCTTTAAGGTCAACCACCATCACCCCAACACCCATTAAGCTCAACCACCATCACCCCAACACCCATTAAGGTCAACCACCATCAACCCAACACCCATTAAGGTCAACCACCATCACCCCAACACCCATTAAGGTCAACCACGATCAACCCAACACCCATTAAGGTCAACCACCATCACCCCAACACCCATTAAGGTCAACCACCATCACCCCAACACCCTTTAACGTCAACCACCATCACCCCAACACCCTTTAAGGTCAACCACCATCAACCCAACACCCATTAAGGTCAACCACCATCACCCCAACACCCATTAAGGTCAACCACCATCACCCCAACACCCATTAAGGTCAACCACCATCACCCCAACACCCATTAAGGTCAACCACCATCACCCCAACACCCACTTAGGTCAACCACCATCAACCCAACACCCTTTGAGGTCAACCACCATGAACCCAACACCCATTAAGTTCAACCACCATCAACCCAACACCCATTAAGGTCAACCACCATCACCCCAACACCCATTAAGGTCAACCACCATCACCCCAACACCCTTTAAAATCAACCACCATCACCCAACACCCATTAAGGTCAACCACCATCACCCCAACACCCATTAAGGTCAACCACCATCACCCCAACACCCATTAAGTTCAACCACCATCAACCCAACACCCATTAAGGTCAACCACCATCAACCCAACACCCATTAAGGTCAACCACCATCAACCCAACACCCATTAAGGTCAACCACGATCAACCCAACACCCATTAAGGTCAACCACGATCAACCCAACACCCATTAAGGTCAACCACCATCAACCCAACACCCTTTAAGGTCAACCACCATCACCCCAACACCCATTAAGTTCAACCACCATCACCCCAACACCCATTAAGTTCAACCACCATTAACCCAACACCCATTAAGTTCAACCACCATCAACCCAACACCCTTTGAGGTCAACCACCATCACCCCAACACCCTTTAAGGTCAACCACCATCACCCCAACACCCATTAAGTTCAACCACCACCACCCCAACACCCATTAAGTTCAACCACCACCACCCCAACACCCATTAAGGTCAACCACCATCACCCCAAGACTCACTTAGGGTCCCCATCCCCATCCCAAGCCCCCCCTTATCTCCATCCGCACCATCCCAAGCCCCATGGAAGCCGACCCCCATCCCTCTGCCCCCCATCCCTCACCCGCCAGCCTCTTCATCCAAGCGGCCTCGTCGATGCCCAGGTTGTTGACGACGATGCGCAGGATGTTACCCAAGAGGGTGTTGAGGTGGGCGCTGGTGACGGCCGTGGGGCAGGGCCCGTGGGGCAGCGCCTCGGCGCCGCGCTCCCACCAGCGGGGCAGGTAACTGCAGAGCATGGGCAGCGTCACCTCGATGATGTGGGGCATCTCCGTGTAGCGCGCCCCAGACTCGGCCAGCGCCCCGATGGCCCCCATGAGCTCCTCGAGGGATGGAACGTCCGGGCATAGGTCCTGAACCCGGCTCGGAAGGCCCAGCACTGCAATGGGGCAGGGAGGGGGACGCGGTGAGAGGGGGGAGATCAATGGGGTAGGGGGAAGACAATGGGGAAGGGGGGAAGCCAATGGGGAAGGGGGAAGCCAATGGGGAAGGTCAATGGTCAAGAGGACACCCAATGGGGAAGGGGGAAGCCAATGGGGAAGGGGGAAGCCAATGGGGAAGGGGGGAAGCCAATGGGGAAGGGGGAAGCCAATGGGGAAGGGGGAAGCCAATGGGGAAGGTCAATGGTCAAGGGGACACCCAATGGGAAAGGGGGAAGCCAATGGGGAAGGGGGAAGCCAATGGGGAAGGGGGAAGCCAATGGGGAAGGGGGAAGCCAATGGGGAAGGTCAATGATCAAGGGGACACCCAATGGGGAATGGGGAAGGGGGGGGAAGCCAATGGGGAAGGTCAATGATCGGGGAAGAGGACACCCAATGGGGAAGGGGGGAAGCCAATGGGGAAGGGGGAAGCCAATGGGGAAGGGGGGAAGCCAATGGGGAAGGGGGAAGCCAATGGGGAAGGGAATGCCAAGGGGACACCCAATGGGGAAGGGGGAAGCCAATGGGGAAGGGGGAAGCCAATGGGGAAGGTCAATGGTCAAGGGGACACCCAATGGGGAAGGGGGGAAGCCAATGGGGAAAGGGGGAAGCCAATGGGGAGAGGGGGAAGCCAATGGGGAAGGGGGAAGCCAATGGGGAAGGGGGAAGCCAATGGGGAAGGTCAATGATCAAGGGGACACCCAATGGGGAAGGGGGAAGCCAATGGGGAAGGGGGAAGCCAATGGGGAAGGTCAATGGTCAAGGGGACACCCAATGGGGAAGGGGGAACCCAATGGTCAAGGGGTCGCCCAATGATGAAGGGAGCACCCAACGGTGATGTGGGGCAGGCGAGGGGATGGATGTGGGGCAGGCGCTGTGGGGCAGGCACTGTGGGGCAGCCATGGGGATGGATGTGGGGCAGACGCGGGGTTGGATGTGGGGCAGGCGCTGTGGGGCAGGCGCTGTGGATGTGGGGCAGATGTGGGGCAGGTGCTGTGGGGCAGGCATGGGGATGGATGTGGGGCAGCCATGGGGCAGGTGTGGGTCAGGTGTGGGTCAGGTGTGGGGCAGGTGTGGGTCAGGTGTGGGGCAGGTGTGGGGCAGGTGTGGGGCAGGTGTGGGGCGCTGACCGGCGCGCTCGCGGGCGGACTTGGTGCTGTACACGGAGCAGGGGTTGAGGTGGTTGAGGTGTGGGTGAGGCGCTGTGGGGCAGGTGTGGGGCAGGTGTGGGGCAGGTGTGGGGCAGGTGTGGGGCGCTGACCGGCGCGCTCGCGGGCGGACTTGGTGCTGTACACGGAGCAGGGGTTGAGGTGGTTCAGGTGGGGCTCCAGGAAGGCCACCGGCATCGCGGCCGCCAGCCGGGCCAGGCACTCCCCCAGCGCCGGGCGCTGCCTGCGGGACCCACGGAGCTCAGACCCACAGCGACCCACGGCCAGGGGGATCCGCGGCACACGGAGAGACCCATAGGGACCCATAGGGACCCATAGAGACACATAGAGACACATAGGGACCCATAGGAACACATAGAGACCCATAGGGACACATAGAGACACATAGAGACACATAGAGACATAGAGACACATAGAGACACATAGGGACACATAGAGACACATAGGGACACATAGAGACACATAGAGACACATAGAGACCCATAGAGACACATAGAGACACATAGGGACACATAGGGACACATAGAGACCCATAGAGACCCATAGAGACCCATAGAGACCCATAGAGACACATAGCATCCATAGAGACCCATAGAGAACATAGAACACATAGAGCCCCATAGAGAACATAGAGACCCATAGAACACATACAGAACATAGAGCCCCATAGAGCCCATAGCACCCATAGCATCCATGGCACCCATAGTGCTCCATGGAACCCATAGCACCCATACCCCCCACAGCCCCCATAGCCCCCATAGCCCCCACAGCTCCCATAGCCCCATAGCCCCACAACCCCCATACCCCCATAGCCCCCATAGCCTCCACAACCCCCATACCCCCATAGCCCCACACCCCTATACCCTCCATAGCCCCACAGTCCCACAGCAACCCACACCCCCCCCCACCCCCCCAGCCCCCCCATAGCCCCCCAGCCCCATAGCGCAGCCCCATAGCGCAGCCCCATAGCTGGGAGGTCACCTCTCCATGTAGGGGTTCTTGGTGGTACCCAGGGAGTAGATGCTGCTGAGGATGCGGTAGCAGGAGACCTGGACGTCATCGACTGTGGGGCAGGGGCACCCGGGACGTTAGGGGGCAGGAGAGGCCCCTGCGAGCCCCATAGCCCACACCCCATAGCCCCTATACCCCATACCCCCCATACCCCATATACCCCATAGCCCCCATACCCCATATAACCCATAGCCCCTATACCCCATAGCCCATACACCCCATACCCCATAGCCCCTATACCCCATACATCCCATACCCCATAGCCCCTATACCCCATACATCAAATACCCCATAGCCCCTATACCCCATACCCCATACATCCCATACCCCATACCCCCCCCGTACCCCATATCCAACACCCCATACCCCATACATCCCATACCCCATAGCCCCTATACCCCATACATCAAATACCCCATACACCCCATATCCCCCATAACCCCCCCACCCCATATCCCCTCCCCCCATATCCCTCCCCACCCCCACCCCATATCCCCCCACCCCCCTTCCACCCCCCCACTCCCCACCCCATATCCCCCCCATATCCCTCCCCACACCCCAACCCCCCATACCCCCCAGCACCCCCCTGCCCCATATCCCCCCACACCCCCCCACCCCATCCACCCCACATCCCCCCCACGCCCCCACCCCCACCCCATATCCCCCCCATATCTCCCCCACCCCCCCACCCCACATCCCCCCCAACCCTCACCCCCACCCCCACCCCATATCCCCTCCCCCACACTCTCCCCACCCCCACCCCATATCCCCCCCACACCCCACCCCCCATACCCCCTACACCCCCTCCACCCCATATCCACCCCATATCCCCCCCCATCCCTGCCCCATATCCCCCCCATCCCCTCCCCATAGCTGCCCCATATCCCCCCCATATCCCCCCCCACACCCCACCCCCCCCACCCCACACCCCCCCAACCCTCACCCCCCAACCCCCACCCCATATCCCCCCCATATCCCCCCCACCCCCTACCCCATATCCCCTCTCCCCATAACTCTCCCCACCCCCACCCCATATCCCCCCCAACGTCATCCCCCGCCCTCAGCTGCCCCAGATGCTGCCACACGGAGCTGAGCAGGGGCAGGAGCGCGGCCGTGGCGTAGCTCAGCTTCTGCCCCACACCCTTGGGGCCGCGCCGCCCCCCCGGCACCTGCCCCAGCCTCAGGCTCTCCCCGAGCTTCTCCAGGTCCTCGGCCGCCCCCTCGAAGAACGAGCGCAGCCCGGCCTTGACGATCTCCGGGCCCGACTTCATCACGGTCCTGTGGGGCGGCAATGGGGCAGCAATGGGGCGGATGTGGGGCAGCAATGGGGCAGCAATGGGGCGGATGTGGGGCAGCAATGGGGAGCAATGGGGCGGATGTGGGGCAGCAATGGGGAGCAATGGGGCAGCAATGGGGACTTCATCATGGGGTGGGGCGGCAATCCAGGGGTGGGGCAGCAATGGGGCGGATGTGGGGCAGCAATGGGGAGCAATGGGGCAGCAATGGGGCGGATGTGGGGCAGCAATGGGGAGCAATGGGGAGCAATGGGGAGCAATGGGGAGCAATGGGGATGGCCATGGGGAACGAGCGCAGCCCGGCCTTGACGATCTCCGGGCCCGACTTCATCACGGTCCTGTGGGGCAGCAATGGGGCAGCAATGGGGCGGATGTGGGGCAGCAATGGGGCAGCAATGGGGCGGATGTGGGGCAGCAATGGGGCGGATGTGGGGCAGCAATGGGGAGCAATGGGGAGCAATGGGGATGGCCATGGGGAACGAGCGCAGCCCGGCCTTGACGATCTCCGGGCCCGACTTCATCACGGTCCTGTGGGGCAGCAATGGGGCGGATGTGGGGCAGCAATGGGGAGCAATGGGGCAGCAATGGGGAGCAATGGGGCAGCAATGGGGAGCAATGGGGCGGATGTGGGGCAGCAATGGGGCAGCAATGGGGCAGCAATGGGGCAGCAATGGGGCAGCAATGGGGCAGCAATGGGGCAGCAATGGGGAGCAATGGGGCAGCAATGGGGCAGCAATGGGGCGGATGTGGGGCAGCAATGGGGCAGCAATGGGGCGGATGTGGGGCAGCAATGGGGCAGCAATGGGGCGGATGTGGGGCAGCAATGGGGAGCAATGGGGAGCAATGGGGATGGCCATGGGGAACGAGCGCAGCCCGGCCTTGACGATCTCCGGGCCCGACTTCATCACGGTCCTGTGGGGCGGCAATGGGGCAGCAATGGGGCAGCAATGGGGCAGCAATGGGGCGGATGTGGGGCAGCAATGGGGCAGCAATGGGGCAGCAATGGGGCGGATGTGGGGCAGCAATGGGGAGCAATGGGGATGGCCATGGGGAACGAGCGCAGCCCGGCCTTGACGATCTCCGGGCCCGACTTCATCACGGTCCTGTGGGGCGGCAATGGGGCAGCAATGGGGCAGCAATGGGGCGGATGTGGGGCAGCAATGGGGCAGCAATGGGGCAGATGTGGGGCAGCAATGGGGCAGCAATGGGGAGCAATGGGGCAGCAATGGGGAGCAATGGGGCAGCAATGGGGATGGCCATGGGGAACGAGCGCAGCCCGGCCTTGACGATCTCCGGGCCCGACTTCATCACGGTCCTGTGGGGCAGCAATGGGGCAGCAATGGGGCGGATGTGGGGCAGCAATGGGGCGGATGTGGGGCAGCAATGGGGCAGCAATGGGGCAGCAAGCAATGGGGAGCAATGGGGCAGCAATGGGGCAGCAATGGGGCAGCAATGGGGCAGCAATGGGGAGCAATGGGGATGGCCATGGGGAACGAGCGCAGCCCGGCCTTGACGATCTCCGGGCCCGACTTCATCACGGTCCTGTGGGGCGGCAATGGGGCAGCAATGGGGCAGCAATGGGGCAGCAATGGGGAGCAATGGGGCGGATGTGGGGCAGCAATGGGGGCAGCAATGGGGCAGCAATGGGGAGCAATGGGGCGGATGTGGGGCAGCAATGGGGCGGATGTGGGGCAGCAATGGGGCAGCAATGGGGCAGCAATGGGGCAGCAATGGGGCAGCAATGGGGAAGCAATGGGGAGCAATGGGGATGGCCATGGGGAACAAGGCAGCCCGGCCTTGACGATCTCCAGGCCCGACTTCATCACGGTCCTGTGGGGCGGCAATGGGGCAGCAATGGGGCGGATGTGGGGCAGCAATGGGGCAGCAATGGGGAGCAATGGGGAACGAGCGCAGCCCGGCCTTGACGATCTCCGGGCCCGACTTCATCACGGTCCTATGGGGAGAGAGCTGTGGGGCGGATGTGGGGCAGCAATGGGGAGCAATGGGAAGCAATGGGGAGCAATGGGAATGGACAGCAATGGGGCAGCAGTGGGGCAGCTGTGGGGCAGCAATGGGACAGCAATGGGGATGGACAGCAATGGGGACATGGGGCCATGGGGCAGCCATGGGGCCATGGGGCAGCCGTAGGGACATAGGGACCACCATAGGGCCATGGGGCAGGCGTGGGGCAGGCGTGGGGCAGGCGTGGGGCAGCCATGGGGCAGCCGTGGGGCAGCCGTGGGGCAGTGACGGGGCAGTGACGTGGCAGCCATGGGGCAGCCGTGGGGCAGCCATGGGGCAGCCATGGGGCAGCTGTGGGGCAGCCATGGGGCAGCCGTGGGGCAGCCGTGGGGCAGCCGTGGGGCAGCAGTGGGGCTGGGGGGCAGCCATGGGGCAGCCGTGGGGCAGCAGTGGGGCCATGGGGCAGCAGTGGGGCAGCCGTGGGGCAGCCATGGGGCAGCCATGGGGCAGCAGTGGGGCAGCTGTGGGGCCATGGGGCAGCAGTGGGGCAGCCGTGGGGCAGCCATGGGGCAGCCGTGGGGCAGCCGTGGGGCAGCCGTGGGGCCATGGGGCAGCCATGGGGCAGCCATGGGGCAGCCGTGGGGCCATGGGGCAGCCATGGGGCAGCCATGGGGCAGCCGTGGGGCAGCCGTGGGGCAGCCATGGGGCCGGACCTGGCATCCAGGGAGCGCGCCAGGATGTGCAGGCAGTTCACCACGGCCGGAGCGTCCGTCCCTGCGGGCAGGCACCGTGAGCCAGCGCCCCATAGAGACCCATAGAGCCCCATAGAGCCCCATAGAGACCCATAGAGACCCATAGGGACCCATAGAGACCCATAGAGACCCATAGCGACCCATAGAGACCCATAGAGACCCATAGAGACCCATAGGGACCCATAGAGACACATAGGGACCCATAGAGACCCATAGCGCCCTGTAGCACCCCATAGTGACCCATAGCAACCCATAGCACCCATAGTGACCCATAGCACCCCATAGCGCCCCATAGTGCCCCATAGCGCCCCGTAGCGCCCCATAGTGACCCATAGCAACCCATAGCCACCCATAGGGACCCATAGCGACCCATAGCGACCCACAGAGACCCATAGCGACCCACAGGGACCCACAGAGACCCATAGGGACCCACAGGGACCCATAGGGAACAACAGGGACCCCATAGAGAAACCATAGGGAGCTCATAGGGACCCATAGAGACCCTCAACACCCCCATCGAGACCCCATAGAAATCCCATAGAGACCCCATAGAGACCCCACAGACACCCACAGAGACCCCATAGAGACCCATAGAGACCCACAGAGACCCCATAGAGCCCCATAGAGACCCCATAAAGACCCCATAGAGACCCATAGAGACCCATAGACCCCATAGACACCCATAGAGACCCATAGGGACCCATAGAGATCCCATAGAGACCCATAGAGACCCCATAGAGACCCATAGAGAACCCATAGAGACCCATAGAGCCAGACCCATAGAGACCCATCGAGCCAGACCCATAGCGACCCCCCCGCCCCATAGATGCCCCATAGCGTCCTCACCGAACAGCGAGATGCGGTGCCGGACCAGGGCCGCCAGCTTGCAGAAGAGGCTGTAAGGGGGGGACAATGATGAGGATGTGGGTCAGGGATGGGGGCTATGGGGCTATGGGGGCTATGGGGGCTATGGGGGCTATGGGGGTTATGGGGGTTATGGGGGCTATGGGGGTTATGGGGGCTATGGGGGTTATGGGGGCTATGGGGGCTATGGGGGCTATGGGGGTTATGGGGGCTATGGGGGTTATGGGGGCTATGGGGGCTATGGGGGCTATGGGGTATGGGGGGCTATGGGGGCTATGGGGTCTATGGGGGGCTATGGGGGGTATGGGGGCCATGGGGGGCTATGGGGGGCTATGCGGGCTATGGCTGCTTTGGGTGCTATGGATGCTATAGGTGCTATGGGTGTTATGGATGCTATGGGTGCTATGGGGCTATGGCGCTATGGATACTATGGGGTGCTATGGGTTGCCGTGGGGCGCTAAGGGGCGCTATGGGGTGCTATGGGTGCTATGGATGCTATGGAGCGCTATAGGTGCTATGGGGCACTATGGATGCTATGGGGCACAATGGGTGCTATGGGGCGCTAGGGATGCTATGGGCCGCTATGGATGCTATGGGGTGCTCTGGATGCTATGGATGCTATGGGGCGCTATGTATACTATGGGGCACTATGGGTGCTATGGGGCGCCGTGGGGCGCTATGGTGCGTTATGGGGTGCTATGGACGCTCTTAATGCTATGGGGCACTATGGATGCTATAGGGTGCTATGGATGCTATGGGTGTTATGGGGCGCTATGGGGCGCTATGGGGCACTATGGGTGCTATGGGGCGCTATGGGGCACTATAGATGCTATGGATGCTATGGGGCACTATGGATGCTATGGATGCTATGGGGCACTATGGATGCTATGGATGCTATGGGGCACTATGGATGCTATGGGGCTCTATGGGTCGCCGTGGGGTGCTATGGGTGCTATGGGGCACTATGGATGCCATGGATGCTATGGGGCGCTATGGGTGCTATGGGGCACTATGGATGCCATGGATGCTATGGGGCACTATGGATGCTATGGGGCACTATGGATGCTATGGGGTGCCGTGGGGCGCTATGGATGCTATGGGGCGCTATGGATGCTATGGATGCTATGGGGCGCTATGGGTGCTATGGGTGCTATGGATGCTATGGATGCTATGGGTCGCTATGGGTCGCTATGGGTCGCTATGGGTCGCTATGGGCTATGGATGCTATGGGGATGGGTCCCTATGGGTCGCTATGGATGCTATGGATGCTATGTGTCGCTATGTGTCTCTATGGGGATGGGCTATGGATGCTATGTGATGTGCTATGTGTCTCTATGTGTCCCTATGGGTCCCTATGGGTCTCTATGTGTCTCTATGGGTCGCCGTGGCTCCCACCTGGTCACCATCTCCTTCTCCTTGTTGGAGGCGTGGCCGCCGGAGCCCAGCGCCAGGGCCGGGGTGCTCAGGAAATACCCGCAGTGGTTGTGGAAGTAACGGTGGAGGAGGGGCAGCAGCACCTGCGGGCACAGAGACCCATGGGGGGACGTGGGGGGACATAGAGACCCATAGAGACCCATAGAGACCCATAGAGACACATAGAGACCCATAGAGACACATAGGGACACATAGGGACACATAGAGACACATAGGGACACATAGGGACACATAGGGACCCATAGGGACCCATAGGGACACATAGGGACACATAGGGACACATAGAGACACATAGGGAGCCATAGAGACCCATAGAGACACAGAGACGCATAGAGAGCCATAGAGAGCCATAGAGACACATAGAGACACATAGAGACACATAGAGACACATAGGGACACATAGAGACCCATAGGGACACATAGAGACACATAGGGACACATAGAGACACATAGAGACACATAGAGACACATAGAGACACATAGAGACCCATAGGGACACATAGAGACACATAGAGACACATAGAGACACATAGAGACACATAGAGACCCATAGGGACCCATAGGGACCCATAGAGACCCATAGGGACCCATAGAGACCCATAGGGACCCACAGGGACCCATAGGGACCCATAGAGACCCATAGGGACCCACAGGGACCCATAGGGACCCATAGGGACCCACAGGACCCCCATCTGACCTTGGCGAAGAACTTGATCTCCTGCTCATGGGGGGATTTCTCCACTCGGCCACTGCTGACCACGGCCTCTGGGGGGCGACAGAGAGAACATGGGGGGCCATTGGGACCCATAGGGACCCCATAGGGACCCATAGAGACCCATAGAGACCCATAGAGACCATTGGGACCCATAGAGACCCCATAGGGAACCATAGAGACCCATAGGGATTCCCATGCCCACCCCATCCCCACCCCACCCCCACCCCACACCCCCCCACGCCCCATAGCGCCCCATAGAACCCATAGATCCCCATAGCGCCCCATAGCGCCCCATAGAGCCCATAGATCCCCATAGCGCCCCATAGAACCCATAGCGCTCCATAGAATCCATAGTGCCCCATAGAACCCATAGCGCCCCATAGCACCCATAGCACCCCATAGCGCCCTATAGCGCCCCATAGCGCCCCACAGCACCCCATAGAACCCATAGCGCCCCATAGAACCCATAGTGCCCCATAGCGCTGCACAGCTCCCCACAGCGCCCCATAGCGCCCCATAGAATCCATAGCACCCCATAGAACCCATAGTGCCCCATAGCGCCCCATAGAACCCATAGCGCCCCATAGAACCCATAGTGCCCCATAGCGCCCCACATCTCCCCACATCTCCCCAAAGTACCCATAGCGCCCCATAGCACCCCACAGTGCCCCATAGCGCCCCATAGGACCCATAGCGCCCCACAGCGCCCCATAGCACCCCATAGCGCCCCATAGAACCCATAGCGCCCCATAGAACCCATAGTGCCCCATAGAACCGATAGTGCCCCATAGCGCTGCACAGCTCCCCACAGTGCCCCATAGCGCCCCACAGTGCCTCACAGTGCCCCACAGCGCCCCACAGTGCCCCATAGCGCCCAATAGCGCCCAATAGTGCCCCATAGCACCTATAGCGCCCCATAGCGCCCCATAGTGCCCCACAGTGCCCCACAGCGCCCCATCGAACCCATAGCACCCCATAGAACCCATAGCGGCCCACAGTGCCCCACAGCACCCCATAGAACCCATAGCGCCCCATAGCACCCATAGCGCCCCATAGCACCCATAGCGCCCCATAGCGCCCCATAGAACCCATAGCGCCCCATAGCACCCCATAGCGCCCCATAGCACCCCATAGCACCCCATAGCGCCCCATAGCGCCCCATAGCGCCCCATAGCGCCCCATAGAACCCATAGCGCCCCATAGAACCCATAGTGCCCCATAGCGCTGCACAGCTCCCCACAGCGCCCCATAGCGCCCCATAGAATCCATAGCACCCCATAGAACCCATAGTGCCCCATAGCGCCCCATAGAACCCATAGCGCTCCATAGAACCCATAGTGCCCCATAGCGCCCCACAGCGCCCCATAGAACCCATAGTGCCCCATAGCTCCCCATAGTACCCATAGCGCCCCATAGCCCCCATAGCACCCATAGCGCCCCATAGCGCCCCATAGCACCCATAGAACCCATAGTGCCCCATAGCTCCCCATAGCACCCATAGCGCCCCATAGCGCCCATAGCACCCATAGCGCCCCATAGCGCCCCATAGCACCCACTGCGCTCCATAACACCCACAGCACCCCATAGTGCCCTATGGCACCCATAGCCCCGCACCCCATAGCGCATAGCACCCATAGCACCCATAGCACCCATAGCACCCATAGCGCCCCATAGCACCCATAGCACCCATAGCACCCATAGCGCCCCATAGCGCCCATAGCACCCATAGCACCCATAGCGCCCCATAGCACCCATAGCGCCCCACAGCGCCCCATAGCGCCCCATAGCACCCATAGCGCCCCACAGCGCCCCACAGCGCCCCATAGCACCCATAGCGCCCCACAGCGCCCCCCGAGGCCGCACCCAGGTGCGCGATGAACTCCTGGGCCGTGTCCATCCAGCGCAGGAGCTGCTGCAGGAACCCGAAGGCGAAACGCTTCTCGATGGAGGAGGAGTCGAGCTCCATGTCCTTGAGGCCCCTGGGACCCACGGAGACCATAGAGACACATAGGGACCCATAGGGACCATAGGGACCATAGGGACCCATAGAGACCCATAGAGACACATAGGGACCCATAGGGACACATAGAGACCCATAGTGCCCCATAGCACCCCATAACGCCCCATAGCACCCCATAGAACCCATAGAGCCCCATAGAGCCCATAGCACCCCATAGAACCCATAGAACCCCATAGAACCCATAGTGCCCCATAGCGCCCCATAGAACCCATAGAGCCCCACAGAGCCCCATAGAGCGCATAGTACCCCATAGTGCCCCATAGAACCCATACATCCCCATAGCTCCCCATGGAACCCATAGAACCCCATAGAGCCCCATAGAGGGCACAGCACCCCATAGCACCCCACAGCGCCCCATAGCGCCCCATAGAACCCATAACGTCCCATAGAACCCATAGCACCCCATAACGCCCCATAGAACCCACAGCGCCCCACAGCACACCATAGCGCCCCATAGAACCCATAACGCCCCATAGAACCCACAGCGCCCCATAGCTCCCCATAGCGCTCCATAGAACCCCACAGCGTCCCACAGCACCCCACAGCACCCCATAGCGCCCCATAGTGCTCCATAGAACCCATAGCACCCCATAGCGCCCCATAGAACCCATAGCGCCCCATAGCGCCCCATAGAACCCATAGCGCCCCATAGCGCCCCACAGCGCCCCATAGAACCCATAGCGCCCCATAGCGCCCCATAGAACCCATAGCACCCCATAACGCCCCATAGTGCCCCATAGCGCCCCATAGCGCCCTATAGAACCCATAGCGCCCCATAGTGCCCCATAGCACCCATAGCGCCCCATAGCGCCCCATAGCGCCCCACAGCGCCCCACAGCGCCCCATAGCGCCCCATAGCGCCCCATAGCGCCCCGCTCACCGGGTCACGGCGTATCCGTGCAGCTGCAGGAACTTGAGCAGCTCCTGCGCCTTCTCCCTGTCCCGCGCCTTCTCCTGCGCCGTCAGCGTGTCGTAGGGCACGAGCAGCGGGTGCGAGCCCCCCCCTGCGAGCCACGGAGCCGTGGGGCACAGAGCGGAGATGGGGCGGCAGTGGGGCAGAGACCGGCAATGGGGCAGCAGTGGGGCGGCAATGGGGCAGCAATGGGGCAGAGAGCAGCAATGGGGCAGCAGAGCGGTAATGGGGCAGAGAGCGGCAATGGGGCAGAGAGCGGCAATGGGGCAGCAGTGGGGCAGAGAGCGGCAATGGGGCGGCAGTGGGGCTGCAATGGGGCGGCAGTGGGGCAGAGAGGGGCAATGGGGGCAGTGCAGAGCATCAATGGGGCAGAGAGGGGCGGCAGTGGGGCAGAGAGGGGCAATGGGGCAGAGAGCGGCAATGGGGCAGCAATGGGGCAGAGAGCGGCAATGGGGCAGAGAGCGGCAATGGGGCGGCAGTGGGGCAGAGAGTGGCAATGGGGCAGCAGTGGGGCAGGGGGCAGCAGTGGGGCAGAGAGCATCAATGGGGCAGAGAGCAGCAATGGGGCAGAGAGCAGCAATGGGGCAGAGAGTGGCAGTGGGGCAGAGAGCAGCAGTGGGGCAGAGAGCGGCAATGGGGCGGCAGTGGGGCAGCAATGGGGCAGAGAGTGGCAATGGGGCGGCGATGGGGCAGCAGTGGGGCAGCAGTGGGGCAGAGAGCGGCAATGGGCAGCAGTGGGGCAGAGAGCGGCAGTGGGGCAGAGAGCATCAATGGGGCAGAGAGCATCAGTGGGGTGCAGAGAGCATCAATGGGGCAGAGAGCATCAATGGGGCAGAGAGCATCAGTGTGGCAGAGAGAGCATCAGTGGGGCAGAGAGCATCAGTGGGGTGCAGAGAGCATCAATGGGGCAGAGAGCATCAGTGGGGCAGAGAGCATCAATGGGGCAGAGAGAGCATCAATGGGGCAGAGAGCATCAATGGGGCAGAGAGCATCAATGGGGCAGAGAGAGCATCAATGGGGCAGAGAGCATCAGTGGGGCAGAGAGCATCAGTGGGGCAGAGAGCATCAATGGGGCAGTGGGGCAGAGAGCATCAATGGGGCAGAGAGCATCAATGGGGCAGAGAGCATCAATGGGGCAGAGAGAGCATCAGTGGGGCAGAGAGCATCAGTGGGGCAGAGAGCAGCAGTGGGGCAGAGAGCAGCAGTGGGGTGCAGAGAGCATCAGTGGGGCAGAGAGCATCAGTGGGGCAGAGAGAGCATCAATGGGGCAGAGAGCATCAATGGGGCAGAGAGCATCAGTGGGGTGCAGAGAGCATCAGTGGGGCAGAGAGCATCAATGGGGCAGAGAGCATCAGTGGGGCAGAGAGAGCATCAATGGGGCAGAGAGCATCAATGGGGCAGAGAGAGCATCAGTGGGGTGCAGAGAGCATCAATGGGGCAGTGAGCATCAATGGGGCAGAGAGAGCATCAGTGGGGCAGAGAGAGCATCAATGGGGCAGAGAGCATCAGTGGGGTGCAGAGAGCATCAATGGGGCAGAGAGCATCAGTGGGGCAGAGAGCAGCAATGGGGCAGAGAGCATCAATGGTGCAGAGAGCATCAATGGGGCAGAGAGCATCAGTGGGGCAGAGAGAGCATCAATGGGGCAGAGAGCATCAATGGGGCAGAGAGCAGCAATGGGGCAGAGAGCATCAGTGGGGCAGAGAGAGCATCAGTGGGGCAGAGAGCATCAATGGGGCAGAGAGAGCATCAATGGGGCAGAGAGCATCAATGGGGTGCAGAGAACATCAGTGGGGCAGAGAGCATCAATGGGGCAGAGAGCATCAGTGGGGCAGAGAGAGCATCAATGGGGCAGAGAGCATCAGTGGGGCAGAGAGCATCAATGGGGCAGAGAACATCAATGGGGCAGAGAGAGCATCAATGGGGCAGAGAGCATCAGTGGGGCAGAGAGAGCATCAGTGGGGCAGAGCACGGGGCTGGGGTCAGGGAGGAGGGGCCCCCCGGGAGCTGTGGGGCGGAGGGGCCCCCATGGGTTCCTATGGGGCAGGGGGGGGCTCACCCTTGGCCTCCAGCTCCAGCTTCTTCTTGCGGCCCCACGTGTTGTGGTAGTTCTCAGCCAGCTGCTCCGCCATGGCCTGGGGGGGATGGGGGGTGGATATGGGGTGGGGGTGTGGGGTGAGGGTGGGGGGTGGGGGGTGGGGGGGATATGGGGGGTGTGGGGTGGGGGTGGTGGTGTGGGGTGTGGGGGGGGATATGGGGGGGATATGGGGTGAGGGTGGGGGGTGGGGGTGTGGGGTGGGGGGGGGGGATATGGGGGTGGGGTGGGGGTGGGGGGTGGGGTGGGGATATGGGGTGGGGGGTGTGGGTGTGGGGGGGGGGGGGTGGGGTGGGGGGATATGGGGGGGATATGGGGTGGGGGTGTGGGGTGGGGGTGGGGGGCGTAGGGTGGGGATATGGGGTGGGGGTGGAGGGTGGGGTGGGGGGTGGGGGGGAGATGGGGGGTGGGGTGGGGGTGTGGGGGGATATGGGGGGATATGGGGGGTGGGGTGGGGTGGGGGTGGGGATATGGGGGGGATATGGGGGGGATATGGGGGAACAATGGGGGGAGATGGGGTAACAATGGGGGGGATATGGGGGAACAATGGGGGGGATATGGGGGGGATATGGGGGGGGTGGGGGGATATGGGGGGGATGGGGGATGGGGGGCGCTGTGGGGCTGGGGGGATATGGGGGGGGGGGGGGGGGGGGGATATGGGGGGGATATGGGGTGTGGGGGGTGGGGTGGGGGGGGATATGGGGGGGGGATATGGGGTGGGGGTGTGGGGTGGGGTATATGGGGGGGATATGGGGGGGGGTGGGGGGGGTATGGGGGGGATGGGGGGTGTGAGGGGCGGTGGGGAGGGGATATGGGGGGGGTGTGGGGGGATATGGGGGGGTTATGAGGGTTGGGGTGGGGGGTGGGGGATGGGGTGTGGGATATGGGGTGGGGTGGGGGGTGGAGGGTGTGGGGTGGGGGGGATATGAGGGGTGTGGGGTGGGGGTGTGGGGTGGGGGGATATGGGGGGTATTATGGGATGTGGGGTGTGGGGTATTATGGGATGTGGGGTGTGGGGTATTATGGGGTGTGGGATGTGGGGTATTATGGGATGTGGGGTATTATGGGATGTGGGATATTATGGGATGTGGGGTATTATGGGATGTGGGGTATTATGGGATGTGGGGTGTTATGGGATGTGGGGTGCTATGGGATATGGGGTATTATGGGATGTGGGCTCTTATGGGATGCAGGATATGGGGTATTATGGGATATGGGGTATTATGGGATGGGGGCTGTGGGGTGTTATGGGATGTGGGGTGTTATGGGGTATTATGGGATGTGGGGTGTTATGGGATGTGGGGTATTATGGGATGTGGGGTATTATGGGATGCAGGATATGGGGTATTTTGGGATATGTGGTATTATGGGATGGGGGCTGTGGGGTGCTATGGGGTATTATGGGATGGGGGCTATTATGGGATGTGGGGTACTATGGGATGCAGGATATGGGGTGTTATGGGCTGTGGGCTATTATGGGATGGGGGCTGTGGGGTGTTATGGGATGTGGGGTGTTATGGGATGGGGGCTGTGGGCTATTATGGGCTGCGGGCTATTATGGGATGGGGGCTGTGGGGCTCAGGCCCTCACCTGCAACTCCCGGGACAGGGTCACCCCCGAGAGGTCCACGGGCTGGGGGCTGTAACCGTGGCTGGGGTCGTAGGTGGCCTTGGGGGGCAGAGCAGAGGGAGGGCGCCGTGGGGCAGAGCGACCCACAGGCCCCCATAGGGACCTAGGGAGCCTATGGACCCCTATGGAGCCCTATGGAGCCCTATGGACCCCTATGGAGCCCTATGGACCCACAGACCCCCATAGGGACCTAGGGACCCTATGGACCCCTATGGAGCCCTATGGACCCTATGGACCCACAGACCCCTATAGGGACCTATGGAGCCCTATGGACCCTATGGACCCACAGACCCCCATAGGGACCTAGGGACCCTATGGACCCCTATGGAGCCCTATGGAGCCCTATGGACCCCTATGGACCCACAGACCCCTATAGGGACCTATGGGACCCTATGGAGCCCTATGGACCCTATGGACCCACAGACCCCCATAGGGACCTATGGACCCTATGGACCCCTATGGAGCCCTATGGACCCTATGGACCCTATGGAGCCCTATGGACCCTATGGACCCCTATGGAGCCCTATGGACCCACAGACCCCCATAGGGACCTAGGGACCCTATGGACCCCTATGGAGCCCTATAGGGACCTAGGGACCCCTATGGACCCTATGGACCCACAGACCCCCATAGGGACCTAGGGAGCCTATGGACCCACAGACCCCCATAGGGACCTATAGACCCCTATGGACCCCTATGGACCCCTATAGGGACCTATGGACCCCAATGGACCCCATGGACCCCCATGGACCCCATGGAACCCATGGACCCCCATGGACCCCATGGACCCCTATAGACCCCTATAGACCCCTATAGACTCTATGGACCCCATGGACCCCCATGGACCGCATGGACCTCTATAGACCCCCATGGACCCCAATGGACCCCATGGACCCCCATGGACCCCCATGGACCCCATGGACCCCTATAGACTCCCATAGACCCCATGGACCCCCATGGACGCCTATAGACTCTATGGACCCCTATAGACCCCCATGGGCCCCCATGGACCCCTATAGACCCCTATAGACTCTATGGACCCCCTGGACCCCCTGGACCCCACAGCCTGCAGACCTGGGCCGACTGGGAGATCTTTCGGGTCTTCTTCTTCTCCACTTTGTCCTCCTCCCCCTCGCGGGCCTTCTCCACCGTCCACTCCCAGGCCAGCATCGCCTTGAGGGACTCCTTGATTGGCCAGCGGTAGATCTCCTTGTCCTGGGGGCGCAGGGGGGCGCAGTGGGGCTGGGGAACTCCGGGGGGAACTCAATGGGGTTGGGGGAACTCAATGGGGTTGGGGGAACTCAATGGGGTTGGAGGAACTCAATGGGGTTGGATGGGGTTGGATGGGGTTGAAAGAACTCAATGGGGTTGGATGGGGTTGGAGGAACTCAATGGGGTTGAATGGGGTTGGATGGGGTTGAAGGAACTCAATGGGGTTGGATGGGGTTGGGGGTACTCAGTGGGGTTGGATGGGGTTGATGGAACTCAATGGGGTTGGATGGGTTTGAAGGAACTCAATGGGGTTGGATGGGGTTGGAGGAACTCAATGGGGTTGGGGGAACTCAATGGGGTTGGATGGGGTTGGGGGAACTCAATGGGGTTGGATGGGGTTGGGGAACTCAATGGGGTTGGGGGAACTCAATGGGGTTGGATGGGGTTGGATGGGGTTGGAGGAACTCAATGAGGTTGGGGGAACTCAATGGGGTTGGGGGAACTCAATGGGGTTGGATGGGGTTGGGGGTACTCAGTGGGGTTGGATGGGGTTGGGGGAACTCAATGGGGTTGGGGGAACTCAATGGGGTTGGGGGAACTCAATGGGGTTGGATGGGGTTGGAGGAACTCAATGGGGCTGGGGGAACTCAATGGGGTTGGATGGGGTTGGGGGTCCCCAATGGGCTTCAGGGGATCCCAATGGGGTTGAATGGCGTTATGGGTCCCCAATGGTGTTCAGGGGACCCCAATGTCCTCGAGGTTCTCCCCATAGGGGCTGTGGGGCCCGGAGGCCCCGGTACCTTCTCGGAGAAGGTCTTGTACGGGCGCAGCATCGGGTGCGTCTTGGCCTCTTCATCCACGGCCTCCCCGAAGGACCAATTGTTCTGGATCTGCCATGGGGGGGACATGGGGGGCGCGGGGACATCAGTGGGGCGCTGGGGGGGGGCATTGGGGGCGCTATGGGGCGCAGGTTTGGGGTCGCACCTTGTCGAAGGCCCACTTCTCATGGGTGAACTCCGCGTACTTGTTGATGAAGCCATCGAGCTTCTCGGGGATGATGACGCTGGGGGGAGAGGGGAGAAGTGGGGCTGGGTTATGGGGCTGGGTTATGGGGCTGGGCTATGGGGCTGGGTTATGGGGCTGGGTTATGGGGCTGATTTATGGGGCTGGGTTATGGGGCTGGGTTATGGGGCTGGGCTATGGAGCTGGGCTATGGAGCAGGGCTCTGTGGCTGGGTTATGGGGCAGGGTTCTGTGGCAGGGTTATGGGGCAAGTCCATGGGGCAGGGCTGTCTGTCAGGGTTATGGGGCAGGTTTATAGGGCAGGATTATGGGGCAGGGCTATGGAGCAGGCTTATACGTCATAGGGCAGGTCTATGGGTAAGGTCTATGGGGCAGGTCTATGGGGCATTTCTATAGGGCAGGGCTATGGGGCAGGGCTATGGGGCAGGGCTATAGGGCAGGGCTATGGGGCAGGGCTATGGGGCAGGTCTATGGGGCAGGGCTATGGGGCAGGGTTATGGGGCAGGGCTATGGGGCAGGGCTATGGGTCAGGGCTATGTGGCAGGGCTATGGGGCAGGGCTATGGGGCAGGGCTATGGGGCAGGGCTATGGGTCAGGGCTATGTGGCAGGGCTATGGGGCAGGGCTATGGGGCAGGGTTATGGGGCAGGGCTATGGGGCAGGGCTATGGGGCAGGGCTATGGCGCAGATCTATGGGGCAGGGCTATGGGGCAGGTCTATGGGGCAGGGCTATGGGGCAGGGCTATAGGGCAGGGCTATGGGGCAGGGCTATGGGTCAGGTCTATGGGTCAGGGCTATGGGGCAGGGCTATAGGGCAGGTCTATGGGGCAGGTCTATGGGGCAGGTCTATGGGGCAGATCTATGGGGCAGGTCTATGGGGCAGGTCTATGGGGCAGGTCTATGGGGCAGGTCTATGGGGCAGGTCTATAGGGCAGGTCTATGGGGCAGCGCCGTGGGGCAGGAGGGCCCTGGGCTCACTTGAGGGTCTCCACGGGCTTGGGGTCGAAGTTGCCCTCGGCGTCCACGGCCGCCTTCTTCTCGGTGCGCGAGGAGTAGCTGGCGTCGACGTAGTCGGGCGGGAGGGCGCCGGCGATGGCGCACAGGCACGGCATGGCCAGGCGGGAGAGCTCGGGGTCGAAGCGCTGCCGGCACCCGCGCCCATCACCGTCGGCATCGGCGGCATCGGCATCGGCGTCATGGTCAACGTCATCATCGTTGTCATCGTCGTCATCGTTGTCATCGTCATCATCATTGTCATCATTGTCATCGGCATCGTCATCGTCCGTCATCATCGTCATCGTCATCATCGTTGTCATCGTCATCATCATCATCATTGTCATCGTCATCATCGTTGTCATCGTCATCATCGTTGTCATTGTCATCATCATTGTCATCATTGTCATCGGCATCGTCATCATCGTTGTCATCGTCATCGTCATCATCGTTGTCATCATCATCATCGTCATCATTGTCATCGGCATCGTCATCATCGTTGTCATCGTCATCATCATTGTCATCGTCATCATCGTTGTCACCGTCATCGTCATCATCGTTGTCATCGTCGTCATCATTGTCATCATTGTCATCGTCATCATCATCGTCGTCGTCGTCCGTCATCGTCGTCATCGTCGTCATCATCGTCTTCGGCATCGTCATCGTTGTCATCATCATCATCATCATCATCATCGTCATCGTTGGCGTCATCGGCATCATCGGCGTCGTCATCGGCATCGTTGTCATCGTCATTGTCATCGCCGTCATCATCGTCATCGTCATTGTCATCGTCGTCATTGGCATCATCATCGGCATCATCGGCATCGTTGTCATCGTCATCGGCGGCATTGGCGTCGTCATCGGTGTCATCATCATCATCGTCATCATGGTCATTGTCATCGTCGTCGTCATTGTCATAGTCATCATCATTGTCATCGTTGTCATCGTCATCGTTGTCATCATCGTCATCGTCATCGTTGTCATCATCATGGACATCAACGTCATCATCATCGTCATCATTGTCTTCGTCATCGTCATCGTCATCATTGTCATCATCGTCAATGTCATCATCGTCATCCCCGACGTCATTGTCATCATCAACCCATTGTCATCATCACCATCCCATCATCCTCCTCCTCCTCATCATCCCCATCATCATCATCGTCCTCATCATCCCCATCATTACCATCTCCCCATCGCCATCCCCATTATTGTCATCATCATCATCCCCATCTTCCTCCCCATCCTCCTCATCATCATCCCATTGTCATCATCGTCATCCCCACCATCATCATCCCATTGTCATCATCATCATCCCCATCATCATCCCCATCGTCATCATCTCCATCATCATCGTCATCCCCATCATCCCCATCATCATCATCCCCATCGTCATCATCTCAATCATCATCATCCCCATCATCCCCATCATCCCCATCGTCATCCCCATCATCATCATCCCCATTGTCATCATCATCATCATCCCCATCATCATCCCCATCGTCATCCCCATCATCCCCATCATCGTCCTCATCATCCCATCCCCATCATCCCCATCATCATCATCCCCATCGTCATCACCTCCATCATCATCATCATCCCCATCATCCCCATCCCCATCATCATCCTCACCCCACATCCCCATTCCCCCCCCCCCGTGCCCCCCATCTCCCCCCCGTGCCCCCCACCTTGTGCGCCAGGGACTGGAAGATGCCCCAGAAGAGCTTCCTGGTGAGGTGCAGCTCCTCCTCGGAGCTCACGCCGTGATTGGGCCACCCACTGGGCAGGCAGTAGTACTTCCAACACCGCTCGTAGTGATTGGTCAGCAGCTGGGCGGGACGGAGGGGGATTGACCAATGGGGGCATCCCTATGGGGGGGGACGGACCCCCATAATGTCCTCTCCATCGCCTCACCTTGAGCGGCATCTTGGAGAACTCATTGAGGATGGGAACGTCGAAGACCAGGCGGCGCAGGAGGTGCTGCAGCATCGAGGGGCTGATGTACCTGGGGGGGGTTGGGGGCCCACGGTTGGGTCATGGCACCCACGGTTGGGTCGTGGCACCCATGGTTGGGTCGTGGCACCCACGGTTGGGTCATGGCGCCCATGGTTGGGTCATGGCACCCACGGTTGGGTCATGGCGCCCATGGTTGGGTCGTGGCCCCCATGGTTGGGTCATGGCACACATGGTTGGGTCGTGGCACCCATGGTTGGGTCGTGGCGCCCATGGTTGGGTTTTGGTGTCATTGGTTGGGTTGTGGTGTCAACGCTTGGGTCATGGCGCCCATGGTTGGGTCATGGCACCCACAGTTGGGTTTTGGTGTCATTGGTTGGGTTGTGGTGTCAACGCTTGGGTCATGGCACCCATGGTTGTGTCATGGCACCCATGGTTGGGTCGTGGTGCCCATGGTTGGGTCATGGAGCCCATTGTTGGGTCATGGTGCCCATGGTTGGGTTTTGGTGTCATTGGTTGGGTTGTGGTGTCAACGGTTGGGTCATGGCACCCATGGTTGGGTCGTGGCGCCCATGGTTGGGTCATGGCACCCACGGTTGGGTCGTGGCACCCATGGTTGGGTCGTGGCGCCCACGGTTGGGTCATGGCACCCATGGTTGTGTCGTGGAGCCCATGGTTGGGTCATGGCGCCCATGGTTGTGTCATGGCACCCATGGTTGTGTCGTGGAGCCCATGGTTGGGTCGTGGCGCCCATGGTTGGGTCGTGGCACCCATGGTTGTGTCATGGTGCCCATGGTTGGGTCATGGCACCCATGGTTGGGTTGTGGCACCCATGGTTGGGTCGTGGTGCCCATGGTTGGGTCATGGCACCCATGGTTGGGTCATGGCACCCATGGTTGGGTCGTGGCGCCCACGGTTGGGTCATGGCACCCACGGTTGGGTCATGGCACCCACGGTTGGGTCATGGCACCCATGGTTGGGTCATGGCACTCATGGTTGGGTTGTGGCGCCCACGGTTGGGTCATGGCACCCATGGTTGGGTCGTGGCGCCCATGGTTGGGTTGTGGCACCCATGGTTGATTCGTGGTGCCCATGGCTGGGTCATGGAGCCCAAGGTTGGGTCATGGAGCCCAAGGTTGGGTCATGGCGCCCATGGTTGGGTCCTGTCACCCATGGTTGGGTTTTGGGTGCCATGGTTGGGTCCTGGTTGGGTTTCGGATGCCGTGGTTGGGTTTTGGGTGCCATGGTTGGGTCCTGTCACCCATGGTTGGGTTTTGGGTGCCATGGTTGTGTTTTGGATGCCATGGTTGGGTCCTGACCCCCATGGTTGGGTCCTGGTTGTGTTTTGGATGCCATGGTTGGGTTTTGGGTGCCATGGTTGGGTCCTGACACCCATGGTTGGGTCCTGGTTGGGTTTTGGGTGCCGTGGTTGGGTTTTGGGTGTCATGGTTGGGTCCTGACCCCCATGGTTGGGTCCTGGTTGGGTTTTGGTTGCTGTGATTGGGTCCTGGTTGGGTTTTGGGTGCCGTGGTTGGGTTTTGGGTGCCGTGGTTGGGTTTTGGGTGCCGTGGTTGGGTTTTGGGTGCCATGGTTGAGTCCTGGTTGGGTTTTGGGTGCCGTGGTTGGGTTTTGGGTGCCATGGTTGTGTTTTGGGTGCCATGGTTGGGTCCTGACCCCCATGGTTGGGTTTTGGGTGCCGTGGTTGGGTTTTGGGTGCCATGGTTGGGTCCTGACACCCATGGTTGGGTCCTGGTTGGGTTTTGGGTGTCATGGTTGGGTCCTGGTTGGGTTTTGGGTGCCATGGTTGGGTCCTGGTTGGGTTTTGGGTGTCATGGTTGGGTCATGGTTGGGTTTTGGGTGCCATGGTTGGGTTTCGGGTGCCATGGTTGGGTCCTGGTTGGGTTTTGGGTGTCATGGTTGGGTCATGGTTGGGTTTTGGGTGCCATGGTTGGGTTTTGGGTGCCATGGTTGGGTCATGGTTGGGTTTTGGGTGCCATGGTTGGGTCCTGGTTGGGTTTTGGATGCCATGGTTGGGTTTTGGGTGCCATGGTTGGGTCCTGTCACCCATGGTTGTGTTTTGGGTGTCATGGTTGGGTCCTGGTTGCGTTTTGGGCACCGCGCTTGTCTCCTGGTTGCCCCCCGCCCCCCATCTCACCGGCAGAGCGCCATGAGGCACTCGTCGATGAGGTCGCGCTGGGCCTTGGTGAGCGCCCTGGCGCGGGACAGCCGGTACACGGTGTGCAGCGCCGAGTCCACCAGGCCGGCGCGGTGCTCGGTGCCGGCGAAGAGCGGCGCGCACTTGGTGAGCAGCGGCAGCACCGCCTGGCTCAGGTAGCGGTTCAGCGCCAGCGCCATCTCCGTCGTGCTGAATGCGGCCTAGGGGGGCGGGCGAAGGGGGCGCTATGGGGCATGAGGGGGAGCTGTGGGGCACGGGGAGGGCTATGGGGCACGGGGAGAGATATGGAGCGCTATGGGGCACGGGGAGGGCTATGGGGCACAGGGAGGGCTATGGGGCACAGGGAGCGCTATGGGGCACGGGGAGAGATATGGGGCACGGGGAGGGCTATGGGGCACGGGGAGAATTATGGGGAATGGGGAGAGCTATGGGGAACAGGGAGAGCTATGGGGCATGGGGAGAGCTATGGGGCACAGGGAGGGCTATGGGGCACAGGGAGAGCTATGGGGCACGGGGAGAGATATGGGGCACGGGGAGAGATATGGGGCACCCCATAGGACACCCCATAGGACACCCCATAACACCCCATTTCAACCCCATAACACCCCATAGTGCCCCATAGCGCCCCACAGGACACCCCATAGGACACCCCATAGCGCCCCATAGGACACCCCATAGCGCCCCATAGGACACCCCATTTCCACCCCATAACACCCCAAAGGACACCCCATAGTGCCCCATAACACCCCATAGACACCCCATAGCGCCCCATAGGACACCCCATAACACCCCATAGACACCCCATAGCGCCCCATAGGACACCCCATAACACCCCAAAGACACCCCGTAGCGCCCCATAGACACCCCATAGCGCCCCATAGGACGCCCCATAACACCCCATAGACACCCCATTTCCACCCCATAGTGCCCCATAGGACGCCCCATAGGACGCCCCATAGCGCCCCATAGCGCCCCATAGCGCCCCCTATGGGGCCGCACCGTGTCGAGGGAGGCGGCCGCGCGCAGGTCGGGCAGGAAGCCCACGTCGAGCACGCGCAGGAGCAGCTCCTGGCTCCCCACCCCATAGAACCCCATAGCGCCCCATAGGACACCCCATAACACCCCATAGGACACCCCATAGCGCCCCATAGGACACCCCATAACACCCCATAGACACCCCATCCACCCCATAACACCCCATAGGACACCTCATTTCCACCCCATAGGACACCCCCTAGCGCCCCATAGGACACCCCATAGGACACCCCCTAGCGCCCCATAGTGCCCCATAACACCCCATAGGACACCCCATTTCCACCCCATTTCCACCCCATAGGACACCCCATAGCGCCCCATAGCGCCCCACAGCTCCCCATAGGACACCCCATTTCCACCCCGTTTCCACCCCATAACACCCCATTTCCACCCCATAGCGCCCCATAGGACACCCCATAGCGCCCCATAGCGCCCCACAGCTCCCCATAGGACACCCCATTTCCACCCCGTTTCATAACACCCCATTTCCACCCCATTTCCACCCCCTAGCGCCCCATAGCGCCCCACAGCGCCCCACAGCGCCCCCTATGGGGCCGCACCGTGTCGAGGGAGGCGGCCGCGCGCAGGTCGGGCAGGAAGCCCACGTCGAGCACGCGCAGGAGCAGCTCCTGGCTCCCCACCCCATAGAACCCCATAGCGCCCCATAGGACACCCCATAACACCCCATAGACACCCCATAGCGCCCCATAGGACACCCCATAACACCCCATAGGACACCCCATAACACCCCATAGACACCCCATAGCGCCCCATAGGACACCCCATAACACCCCATAGACACCCCATAACACCCCATAGACACCCCATAGCGCCCCATAGGACACCCCATAACACCCCATAGACACCCCATAGCGCCCCATAGGACACCACATAACACCCCATAGACACCCCATAACACCCCATAGACACCCCATAGGACACCCCATAGGACACCCCATAACACCCCATAGACACCCCATAGGACACCCCATAGGACACTCCATAACACCCCATAGACACCCCATAGCGCCCCATAGGACACCCCATAACACCCCATAGACACCCCATAGCGCCCCATAGAACCCCATAGCGCCCCATAGGACACCCCATAGTGCCCCATAACACCCCATAGACACCCCATAGCGCCCCATAGCGCCCCCTATGGGGCCGCACCGTGTCGAGGGAGGTGGCCGCGCGCAGGTCGGGCAGGAAGCCCACGTCGAGCACGCGCAGGAGCAGCTCCTGGCTCCCCACCCCATAGAACCCCATAGCGCCCCATAGGACACCCCATAACACCCCATAGGACACCCCATAGGACACCCCATAACACCCCATAGACACCCCATAGCTCCCCATAGGACACCCCATAACACCCCATTTCCACCCCATAGCGCCCCATAGGACACCCCATAACACCCCATAGACACCCCATAGCGCCCCATAGGACACCCCATAACACCCCATAGACACCCCGTAGCGCCCCATAGGACACCCCATAACACCCCATAGACACCCCATAACACCCCATAGACACCCCATAGGACACCCCATAGGACACCCCATAGGACACCCCATAACACCCCATAGACACCCCGTACCGCCCCATAGGACACCCCATAGCGCCCCATTTCCACCCCATAACACCCCATAGGACACCCCATAGCACCCCATTCCACCCCATAGGACACCCCATAACACCCCATAGCGCCCCATAGGACACCCCATAGCGCCCCATTGGACACCCCCTAGCGCCCCCTAGTGCCCCATAGGACACCCCATAGTGCCCCATAGGACACCCCATTTCCACCCCATTTCCACCCCATAGGACACCCCATAGCGCCCCATAGCGCCCCACAGCTCCCCATAGGACACCCCATTTCCACCCCATAGACACCCCATTTCCACCCCATAGCGCCCCACAGCGCCCCCTATGGGGCCGCACCGTGTCGAGGGAGGCGGCCGCGCGCAGGTCGGGCAGGAAGCCCACGTCGAGCACGCGCAGGAGCAGCTCCTGGCTCCCCACCCCATAGAACCCCATAGCGCCCCATAGGACACCCCATAGACACCCCATAACACCCCATAGACACCCCATAGCGCCCCATAGGACACCCCATAACACCCCATAGACACCCCATAGCGCCCCATAGGACACCCCATAACACCCCATAGACACCCCATAGGACACCCCATAGACACCCCATAGGACACCCCATAGCGCCCCATAGCGCCCCACAGCGCCCCCTATGGGGCCGCACCGTGTCGAGGGAGGCGGCCGCGCGCAGGTCGGGCAGGAAGCCCACGTCGAGCACGCGCAGGAGCAGCTCCTGGCTCCCCACCCCATAGACGCGGTCCAGGAACAGAACCATGGGGGCTTTGTGCTCGGGGGCGAAGCTGGCGGCCAGGCGGGGCTCCAGCACCGCGCCGTCTGTGGGGCAGAGCGGGGGACACGTGGGGGGCAGCCCCATAGAGAGGGCACACAGCACATAGTGAGGGGACACATGGGGGGCAGCCCCATAGCGAGGGTACAGAGCACATCATGGGGGGCAGCCCCATAGAGAGGGTACAGAGCGCATCATGGGGGGCAGCCCCATAGCCAAGGCCTCCAGCCCATAATAACCCATGTAACTCAGATACCCCATACATCCCATATACCCCATGCATAATGTGTGGGGCGATGGGGACACATGGGGGGCAGCCCCATAGCGAGGGCACAAAGCACATAGTGAGGGGACACATGGGGGGCAGCCCCATAGCGAGGGTACAGAGCACATCATGGGGGCAGCCCCATAGAGAGGGAACAGAGCGCATCATGGGGGCAGCCCCATAGCGAGGGCACAGAGCACATCATGGGGGCAGCCCCATAGCGAGGGCACAGAGCGCATCATGGGGGCAGCCCCATAGCGAGGGCACAAAGCACATCATGGCCCATGTAACTCAGATACCCCATATATCCCACACCCCACACCCCCACACACCCCACACACCTCACCCACCCCACATCCACCCCACACCCCCCACACCTCACACCCCCCATCCACCCCATAGACCCCACACACCCCATTCACCCCCGACACCCCACACCCCTGTCCACCCCATTCACCCCACACCCCCCATCCACCCCACCACCCCATCCACCCCACACCCCCCAACAGCCCCCACAACCCCCACCCCAGATCCCCCCCACACCCCATCCCCCCCACCCCCCCATCCACCCCACACACCCCACACCCCCCACACCCCCCACCCCAGATCCCCCCCACACCCCCCCCACCCCATCCACCCCCCACCCACCCCACACCCCCCCCCCCCACACCCCACCCCCCCACCCCCCCCCCACACACCCCATCCATGCACCCCACACACCCCACCCCCCCCCCCCACACCCCCCCCACCCCATCCACCCCACACACCCCATCCACACCCCCACCCCACACCCCCCATCCACCCCATCCACCCCACACCCCCCACACCCCCCATCCACCCCATCCACCCCCCATCCACCCCATTCACCCCATGCACCCCCCATCCACCCCACACCCCACCCCCCCCACCCCCCCATGTACCCCACACACCCCACACCCCCCCCCCACCCCATGTACCCCATAGACCCCCCACCCCCCATCCACCCCACACCCCACACCCCACACCCCCCCATCCCCCCCAGACCCCCCCCCCCCCTGCCCCGCCCCCCGCTGCCCCCTCGCCGCACCTTTGCCCACGCTGGGCAGCTGCAGGGGGAGGCTGATGATCCCCACCAGGTCCTCCAGGGGCACCAAGGACCTCAGGATCGCCCGGATCCGCAGCGCTTCCCCTTTGCCCGCCTGGATCAGCTGCGGGAGGGACCCACGGCGAGGGGGCTCAGCCGCGGCCCTTCCTGCCCCACAAGTGTGGGTCCTGCCCCATAAGTGTGGGTCTGCCCCATATGTGTGGGTCCTGCCCCACAAGTGTGGGTCTGCCCCATACGGGTGGGTCCTGCCCCATAAGTGTGGGTCTGCCCCATATGGGTGGATCTGCCCCATAAGTGTGGGTCCTGCCCCATAAGTGTGGGTCTGCCCCATACGGGTGGGTCCTGCCCCAGACGGGTGGGTCCTGCCCCACAAGTGTGGGTCTGCCCCATATGGGTGGATCTGCCCCATAAGTGTGGGTCCTGCTCCATTAGTGTGGGTCTGCCCCATAAGTGTGGGTCCTGCCCCATAAGTGTGGGTCTGCCCCATACGGGTGGGTCCTGCCCCAGACGGGTGGGTCCTGCCCCACAAGTGTGGGTCTGCCCCATATGGGTGGATCTGCCCCATAAGTGTGGGTCCTGCTCCATTAGTGTGGGTCTGCCCCATAAGTGTGGGTCCTGCCCCATAAGTGTGGGTCTGCCCCATACGGGTGGGTCCTGCCCCAGACGGGTGGGTCTGCCCCATAAGTGTGGGTCTGCCCCACAAGTGTGGGTCCTGCCCCATAAGTGTGGGTCGTGCCCCGTAAGTGTGGGTCCTGCCCCAGACGGGTGGGTCTGCCCCATAAGTGTGGGTCCTGCCCCATAAGTGTGGGTCTGCCCCATAAGTGTGGGTCCTGCCCCATACAGGTGGGTCCTGCCCCATAAGTGTGGGTCCTGCCCCATAAGTGTGGGTCTGCCCCATGTGTGGGTCCTGCTCCATTAGTGTGGGTTCTGCCTCATAAGTGTGGGTCCTGCCCCACAAGTGTGGGTCTGCCCCATAAGTGTGGGTCCTGCCCCAGAAGTGTGGGTCCTGCTCCAGAAGTGTGGGTCTGCCCCATAAGTGTGGGTCCTGCCCCACAAGTGTGGGTCTGCCCCATAAGTGTGGGTCCTGCCCCAGAAGTGTGGGTCCTGCTCCATAAGTGTGGGTCTGCCCCATAAGTGTGGGTCCTGCCCCAGAAGTGTGTGGGTTCTGCCCCATAAGTGTGGGTCTGCCCCATACAGGTGGGTCCTGCCCCATACGGGTGGGTCTGCCCCATAAGTGTGGGTCTGCCCCATAAGTGTGGGTCCTGCCCCACAAGTGTGGGTTTGCCCCATAAGTGTGGGTCTGCCCCATAAGTGTGGGTCCTGCCCCATATGGGTGGATCTGCCCCATAAGTGTGGGTCCTGCCCCAGAAGTGTGGGTCCTGCCCCATAAGTGTGGGTCTGCCCCATACGGGTGGATCCTGTCCCATATGTGTGGGTCCTGCTCCATTAGTGTGGGTCTGCCCCATAAGTGTGGGTTCTGCCCCATAAGTGTGGGTCCTGCTCCATTAGTGTGGGTCCTGCCCCACAAGTGTGGGTCCTGCTCCATTAGTGTGGGTTCTGTCCCATATGTGTGGGTCCTGCGCCATTAGTGTGGGTCCTGCCCCATAAGTGTGGGTCCTGCCCCATATGGGTGGGTCCTGCCCCACAAGTGTGGGTCTGCCCCATAAGTGTGGGTCTGCCCCATACAGGTGGATCCTGCTCCATAAGTGTGGGTCCTGCTCCATAAGTGTGAGTTCTGCCCCATAAGTGTGGGTCCTGCCCCACAAGTGTGGGTCTGCCCCATAAGTGTGGGTCCTGCCCCATAAGTGTGGGTCTGCCCCATAAGTGTGGGTCCTGCCCCATAAGTGTGGGTCTGCCCCATACGGGTGGATCCTGTCCCATATGTGTGGGTCCTGCTCCATTAGTGTGGGTCTGCCCCATAAGTGTGGGTCCTGCCCGACAAGTGTGGGTCCTGCCCCATACAGGTGGGTCCTGCCCCATAAGTGTGGGTCTGCCCCATACGGGTGGATCCTGTCCCATATGTGTGGGTCCTGCTCCATTAGTGTGGGTCTGCCCCATAAGTGTGGGTCCTGCCCCATAAGTGTGGGTCCTGCCCCGTAAGTGTGGGTCCTGCCCCAGACGGGTGGGTCTGCCCCATAAGTGTGGGTCTGCCCCACAAGTGTGGGTCCTGCCCCATAAGTGTGGGTCGTGCCCCGTAAGTGTGGGTCCTGCCCCAGACGGGTGGGTCTGCCCCATAGGTGTGGGTCTGCCCCAGAAGTGTGGGTCCTGCCCCACAAGTGTGGGTCCTGCCCCGTAAGTGTGGGTCCTGCCCCAGACGGGTGGGTCTGCCCCATAAGTGTGGGTCTGCCCCACAAGTGTGGGTCCTGCCCCATAAGTGTGGGTCCTGCCCCGTAAGTGTGGGTCCTGCCCCAGACGGGTGGGTCTGCCCCATAAGTGTGGGTCTGCCCCACAAGTGTGGGTCCTGCCCCATATGGGTGGGTCCTGCCCCACAAGTGTGGGTCTGCCCCATACGGGTGGGTCCTGCCCCATAAGTGTGGGTCCTGCCCCATATGTGTGGGTCCTGCTCCATTAGTGTGGGTCTGCCCCACAAGTGTGGGTCTGCCCCATAAGTGTGGGTCCTGCCCCATAAGTGTGGGTCTGCCCCATAAGTGTGGGTCCTGCTCCATAAGTGTGGGTCTGCCCCATAAGTGTGGGTCCTGCCCCACAAGTGTGGGTTCTGCCCCATAAGTGTGGGTCCTGCTCCATTAGTGTGGGTTCTGCCCCATAAGTGTGGGTCCTGCCCCGTAAGTGTGGGTCCTGCCCCGTAAGTGTGGGTTCTGCCCCATAAGTGTGGGTCTGCCCCATACAGGTGGGTCCTGCTCCATATGGGTGGGTCCTGCCCCATAGAGGTGGGTCCTGCCCCACAAGTGTGGGTCTGCCCCCTACAGGTGGGTCTGCCCCATAAGTGTGGGTCCTGCTCCATAAGTGTGAGTTCTGCCCCATAAGTGTGGGTCCTGCCCCACAAGTGTGGGTCTGCCCCATAAGTGTGGGTCCTGCCCCATAAGTGTGGGTCCTGCTCCATAAGTGTGGGTCTGCCCCATAAGTGTGGGTCCTGCCCCACAAGTGTGGGTCCTGCCCCACAAGTGTGGGTCTGCCCCAGAAGTGTGGGTCCTGCCCCATACAGGTGGGTCTGCCCCATAAGTGTGGGTCCTGCCCCATATGGGTGGGTCTGCCCCATAAGTGTGGGTCCTGCCCCATAAAGTGTGTGTCCTGCCCTATATGTGTGTGTCCTACCCCATATGCATGGGTCCTGCCCCATATGTGTGGGTCCTGACCTGTATATGCGGGTCCTGCCTCATATGTCTGGGTCCTGCCCCATAAGCGTGCGTCCTGCCCCATACATGTGTGTCCTGCCCCATACGTGTGTGTCCTGCCCCATAAGCGTGCTTCCCACCCCATCTGTGTGGCTCCTGCCCCACACGTGTGGGTCCTGCCCCATCCACGTGGCTCCTGCCCCACACGTGTGGCTCCAGCCCCATAAGCGTGCTTCCCTCCCCATCCTCGTGGCTCCAGCCCCACACGCGTGGCTCCTGCCCCATAAGCGTTCTTCCCTCCCCACCGGCGTGGCTCCTGCCCCACACGTGTGGCTCCTGCCCCATAAGTGTTCTTCCCTCCCCATCCTCGTGGCTCCAGCCCCACACGCGTGGCTCCTGCCCCATAAGCGTGCTTCCTGCCCCATAAGCGTGCTTCCTGCCCCATAAGCGTGCTTCCCTCCCCACCCGCGTGGCTCCAGCCCCACACGCGTGGTTCCAGCCCCATAAGCGTGCATCCCTCCCCATCCACGTGGCTCCAGCCCCACACGTGTGGCTCCTGCCCCATAAGCGTGGCTCCAGCCCCATAAGCGTTCTTCCCTCCCCACCGGCGTGGCTCCTGCCCCACACGTGTGGGTCGCGCCCTTACGTGCATCTCGGGGGCGCAGCGCCCCAGCAGGTCGATGAGTGCCCCATAGAAGGACATGATGGCGTTGCCCAGGTGCACCCGGCCCTCCTCGGGGGGCTCCTCAGCCCCAAACCTGAATGGGGGCAATGGGGCGGCAATGGGGACCCCCCCCCATGCCAATGGGGGCAGGGATGGGGGGGGAGGGCTCGTGAGGACCCCAAAGCTGACCCCACCCCCACCCCCCAGCCCCATCCCTGCCCCATCCCTGCCCCATTGCTGCCCCATTCCCATCCCCACCCCATCACCCATCCCCATCCCCATCCCTGCCCCATCCCTGCCCCATCCCCACCCCATCCCTGCCCCATGGCTGCCCCATCCCCACCCCACCCCATCCCCATCCCTACCCCATCCCTGCCCCATTGCTGCCTCATCCCCATCCCCACCCCATCTCCATCCCCATCCCTGCCCCATTGCTGCCCCATTGCTGCCCCATCCCCACCCCATCCCCAACCCATTGCTGCCCCATGGCTGCCTCATCCCCCCCCCATTCCAACCCCATCCCTGCCCCATGGCTGCCCCATCCCCACCCCACCCCATCCCCATTCCCACCCCATCCCTGCCCCATTGCTGCCTCATCCCCATCCCCACCCCATCCCCATCCCCATCCCTGCCCCATTGCTGCCCCATGGCTGCCCCATCCCCACCCCATCCCCAACCCATTGCTGCCCCATGGCTGCCTCATCCCCCCCCCATTCCAACCCCATCCCTGCCCCATGGCTGCCCCATCCCCACCCCACCCCACCCCATCCCCACCCCATCCCTGCCCCATTGCTGCCCCATTGCTACCCCATCTCCCCCCCATTCCCACCCCATCCCTGCCCCATGGCTGCCCCATCCCCATCCCCATCCCCATCCCCACCCCATCCCCACCCCATTGCTGCCCCATGGCTGCCCCATCCACATCCCCCCCCACCGCATCCCATCCCTGCCCCATGGCTGCCCCATCCCCATCCCCATGGCTGCCCCATTGCTGCCCCATGGCTGCCCCATCCCCATCCCCATCCCTGCCCTATTGCTGCCCCATGGCTGACCCATCCCCATCCCCATCCCTGCCCCATTGCTGCCCCATGGCTGCCCCATGGCTGCCCCATCGCTGCCCCATTACTGCCCCATGGCTGCCCCATGGCTGCCCCATGGCTGCCCCATTGCTGCCCCATTGCTGCCCCATTGCTGCCCCATCCCCACCCCATCCCCACCCCACTGCTGCCCCATTGCTGCCCCATTGCTGCCCCATCCCCGCCCCATTGCTGCCCCATTGCTGCCCCATTGCTACCCCATCTCCCCCCCATTCCCACCCCATCCCTGCCCCATTGCTGCCCCATCCCCACCCCATCCCTGTCCCATTGCTGCCCCATCGTTGCCCCATTGCTGCCCCACTCACGGCTCCCTCCTGCGCTCCCTGCGGGGGCTGGGCCCGTCGCGGGCCGGGTCCTGCGCGATGCCCATGGCCTCCTGCATGGCCGCCAGCAGCCCGCAGCCGCCCTCCCCCCGCAGCGCCGGCCCGAAGCACTCGGGCCTCCGGATCAGGAGCCGCACCACGACGTTGGCGTTCTCCTCCACGCTCTCACCTGGCGCCATTGACACCCATGGGCGCCCATTGACACCCATTGACACCCATTGACACCCATTGACACCCATTGACATCCATTGACATCGATTGACACCCATTGACACCCATTGACATCCATTGACACCCATTGACATCCATTGACACCCATTGACATCCATTGACATCCATTGACATCCATTGACACCCATTGACAGCATTGACACCATTGACACCCATTGACAGCCATTGACACCCATGGGCGCCCATTGACACCCATTGACATCCATCGACACCCATTGACATCCATCGACACCCATTGACATCCATTGACACCCATTGACACCCATGGGCGCCCATTGACATCCATTGACACCCACTGAAATCCACTGACATCCATTGACACCCATTGCCACCCCTTGACACCCATTGAGACCATTGACACCCATTGACACCCATTGACATCCATAGCCCCCCACATCCCCCCCATAGCCCCCCATAGCGCCCCACATCCCCCTCACCGTTGACGAAGACGGCGAAGCGCAGGAAGTCCAGGTACCGCTCGCCCCCCATAGACACCCATTGACACCATTGACATCCATTGACATCCATTGACACCCATGGGCACCCAGTGACTCCCATTGACATCCATTGACATCCATTGACACCCATTGACACCCATTGACACCCATTGACACCCATTGACAGCCATTGACACCCATTGACAGCCATTGACACCCATTGACACCCATTGACATCCATTGACACCCCTTGACACCCATTGACACCCATTGACATCCATTGACACCCATTGACACCCATTGACATCCACAGACACCAATGGGACACCAGCCGCACCACGACGTTGGCGTTCTCCTCCACGCTCTCACCTGGCACCCATGGACACCCATTGACACCCATGGGCGCCCATTGACACCCATTGACATCCATTGACATCCATTGACAGCCATTGACATCCATTGACACCCACTGACATCCATTGACATCCATTGGGACCCACTGACACCCATTGACATCCATTGACACCCATTGACTCCCATTGACACCCATTGACACCCATTGACTCCCATTGAAACCCATTGACACCCATTGACATCATTGACATCCATTGACATCATTGACATCCATTGACATCCATTGACATTTATTGACACCCATTGACATCCATTGACACCCATTGACACCCATTGACACCCATTGACACCCATTGACATCCATTGACATCCATTGACATCCATTGACACCCATTGACATCCATTGACACCCATTGACTCCCATTGACACCCATTGACATCCATTGACATCCATTGACTCCCATTGACACCCATGGGCGCCCATTGACTCCCATTGACACCCATTGACACCCATTGACACCCATGGGCGCCCATTGAAACCCATTGACACCCATTGACATCCATTGACTCCCATTGACACCCATTGACACCCATTGACACCAATGGGACACCAGCCGCACCACGACGTTGGCGTTCTCCTCCACGCTCTCACCTGGCACCCATGGGCACCCATTGACACCCATTGACACCCATTGACATCATTGACATCCATTGACACCCATTGACATCCATTGACACCCATTGACACCCATTGACATCCATTGACATCCACTGACACCCATTGACATCCATTGACACCCATTGACACCCATTGACACCCATTGACACCCATTGACACCCATGGGCGCCCATTGACTCCCATTGACACCCATTGACACCCATTGACATCCATTGACACCCATTGACGCCCATTGACATCCATTGACACCCATTGACACCCATTGACATCCATTGACACCCATTGACATCCATAGACACCAATGGGACACCAGAGCACCACGACGTTGGCGTTCTCCTCCACGCTCTCACCTGGCGCCATTGACACCCATTGACACCCATTGACACCCATGGGCGCCCATTGACATCTATAGACACCAATGGGACACCAGAGCACCACGACGTTGGCGTTCTCCTCCACGCTCTCACCTGGCGCCATGGGCACCCATTGACACCCATTGACACCCATGGGCGCCCATTGACACCCATTGACATCCATTGACATCATTGACACCCATTGACACCCATTGACATCTATAGACACCAATGGGACACCAGAGCACCACGACGTTGGCGTTCTCCTCCACGCTCTCACCTGGCGCCATGGGCACCCATTGACACCCATTGACACCCATGGGCGCCCATTGACACCCATTGACATCCATTGACATCATTGACACCCATTGACACCCATTGACACCCATTGACATCCATGGACACCATTGACACCCATTGACATCATTGACATCCATTGACACCCATTGACATCCATTGACATCCATTGACATCATTGACATCCATGGACACCCATTGACGCCCATTGACATCCATTGACAGCCATTGACATCCATTGACATCCATTGACATCCATTGACATCCATTGACATCCATTGACACCAATGGGACACCAGCCGCACCACGACGTTGGCGTTCTCCTCCACGCTCTCACCTGGCGCCATTGACACCCATTGACACCCATGGGTGCCCATTGACATCCATTGACACCCATTGACACCCATTGACATCCATTGAGACCCATAGACACCCATAGACACCCATAGACACCCATAGACACCCATTGACACCCAATGACATCCATTGACAGCCATTGACACCCATTGACATCCATTGACACCCATTGACACCCATTGACACCCATTGACACCATTGACATCCATTGACACCCATTGACACCCATTGACATCCATTGACATCCATTGACATCCATTGACACCCATTGACATCCATTGACATCGATTGACACCCATTGACTCCCATTGACACCCATTGACACCCATTGACACCCATTGACATCCATTGACATCCATTGACATCCATTGACACCCATTGACATCCATTGACATCCATTGACACCCATTGACTCCCATTGACACCCATTGACATCCATTGACATCCATTGACTCCCATTGACACCCATGGGCGCCCATTGACTCCCATTGACACCCATTGACACCCATTGACACCCATGGGCGCCCATTGAAACCCATTGACACCCATTGACATCCATTGACTCCCATTGACACCCATTGACACCCATTGACACCAATGGGACACCAGCCGCACCACGACGTTGGCGTTCTCCTCCACGCTCTCACCTGGCACCCATGGGCACCCATTGACACCCATTGACACCCATTGACATCCATTGACACCCATTGACACCCTTTGACACCCTTTGACATCCATTGACACCCATTGACACCCATTGACATCCATTGATACCCATTGACACCCATTGACACCCATTGACACCCATTGACACCCATTGACTCCCATTGACACCCATTGACACCCATTGACTCCCATTGACACCCATTGACACCCATTGACACCCATTGACACCCATTGACACCCATTGACATCCATTGACATCCATTGACACCCATTGACACCCATTGACACCCATTGACACCCATTGACATCCATTGACATCCATTGACACCCATTGACACCCACTGACATCCATAGCCCCCCACATCCCCCCCATAGCCCCCCATAGCGCCCCACATCCCCCTCACCGTTGACGAAGACGGCGAAGCGCAGGAAGTCCAGGTACCGCTCGCCCCCCATAGACACCCATTGACACCATTGACATCCATTGACACCATTGACATCCATTGACACCCATTGACACCCATTGACACCATTGACACCCATTGACACCCATTGACACCCATTGACACCATTGACATCCATTGACATCCATTGACACCCATTGACATCCATAGCCCCCCACATCCCCCCCATAGCCCCCCATAGCCCCCCACATCCCCCTCACCGTTGACGAAGACGGCGAAGCGCAGGAAGTCCAGGTACCGCTCGCCCCCCATAGACACCCATTGACACCATTGACATCCATTGACATCCATTGACACCCATTGACATCCATTGACACCCATTGACACCCATTGACATCCATTGACATCCATTGACACCCATTGACATCCATTGACACCCATTGACACCCATTGACATCCATTGACACCCATTGACACCCATTGACACCCATTGACACCCATTGACACCCATTGACACCCATTGACATCCATAGCCCCCCACATCCCCCCCATAGCGCCCCACATCCCCCTCACCGTTGACGAAGACGGCGAAGCGCAGGAAGTCCAGGTACGGCTCGCCCCCCATAGACACCCATTGACACCATTGACATCCATTGACATCCATTGACACCCATTGACATCCATTGACACCATTGACACCCATTGACATCCATTGACTCCCATTGACACCCATTGACACCCATTGGCATCCATTGACATCCATTGACTCCCATTGACACCCATTGACACCCATTGACACCCATTGACATCCATAGCCCCCCACATCTCCCCCATAGCGCCCCACATCCCCCTCACCGTTGACGAAGACGGCGAAGCGCAGGAAGTCCAGGTACCGCTCGCCCCCCACCGGGTTCCAGCCCAGGTCGGGGTAGCCCTTGGCCAGCAGCATGGGGCAGCTCTGCAGGCCGCAGCCGGCCAGGTACGTCACCACCTGGGGGGCAGCAGTGGGGCGCATTGGGGTCCATGGGGTACAATGGGGTGCATTGGGTACAATGGGGCGCATTGGGGTCCATTGGGGTGCATTGGGGTCCATGAGGTGCAATGGGGTGCATTGGGTACAGTGGGGGACATTGGGTACAATGGGGTGTATTGAGGTTCATTGGGGTACAATGGGGCGCATTGGGTACAATGGGATCCATTGGGGTCCATGGGGTACAATAGGGCGCATTGGGTACAATGGGATCCATTGGGGTCCATGGGGTACAATGGGGTGCATTGGGTACAATGGGGCCCATTGGGGACATGGGGCATCTCTGCAGGCCGCAGCCGGCCAGGTACGTCACCACCTGGGGGGCAGCAGTGGGGCTCATTGGGGTCCATGGGGTACAATGGGGTGCATTGGGGTCCATTGGGGTGCAGTGGGGTGCAGTGGGGTGCAGTGGGGTACAATGGGGTGCATTGGGTACAATGGGGCCCATTGGGGACATGGGGCAGCTCTGCAGGCTGCAGCCGGCCAGGCACGTCACCACCTGGGGGGCAGCAGTGGGGCGCATTGGGGTCCATGGGGTGCATTGGGGTGCATTGGGGTGCATTAGGGATCATTGGGGTCCATTGGAGTGCATTGGGGTGCATTGGGGTCCATAGGGGTGCATTGGGGTCCATTGGGGATCATTGGGGTGCATTGGGATGCACTGGGGTCCATTGGGGTCCATTGGGGTCCATTGGGGTGCATTGGGGTCCATTGGGGTCCATTGGGGTCCATTGGGGTCCATTGGGGTGCATTGGGATCCATTGGGGTGCATTGGGGTGCATTGGGGTCCATTGGGGTCCATTGGGGTGCATTGGGGTGCATTGGGGTGCATTGGGGTACAGTGGGGTGCATTGGGATGTATTGGGGTGCATTGGGATGTATTGGGGTACATTGGGGTGCATTGGGATGCATTGGGGTACATTGGGGTGCATTGGGGTACACTGGGGTCCATGGGGGTGCATTGGGGTCCATTGGGGTGCATTGGGGTGCATTGGGGTGCAATGGGGTCCATTGGGGTGCATTGGGGTGCATTGGGGTGCATTGGGGTGCATTGGGGTCCATTGGGGTCCATTGGGGGACATTGGGGTCCATTGGGGTGCATTGGGGTGCATTGGGGTCCATTGGGGTGCATTGGGGTGCATTGGGGTGCATTGGGGTCCATTGGGGTGCATTGGGGTCCATTGGGGTCCATTGGGGTGCATTGGGGTGCATTGGGGTGCATTGGGGTGTATTGGGGTGCATTGGGATGTATTGGGGTGCATTGGGGTGCATTGGGGTGCATTGGGGTGCATTGGGGTGCATTGGGGTCCATTGGGATGCATTGGGGTGCATTGGGGTGCATTGGGGTGCATTGGGGTCCATTGGGGTGCATTGGGGTGCATTGGGGTCCATTGGGGTGCATTGGGGTCCATTGGGGTCCATGTGGGTGCATTGGGGTCCATTGGGGTGCATTGGGATGCATTGGGGTGCACTGGGGGTGCATTGGGGTGCATTGGGATGCATTGGGGTCCATTGAGGTGCATTGGGGTGCATTGGGGTCCATTGGGGTCCATTGGGGTGCATTGGGGTGCATTGGGGTCCATTGGGATGCATTGGGGTCCATTGGGGTGCATGGGGGTGCATTGGGGTGCATTGGGGTCCATTGGGGTGCATTGGGGTGCATTGGGGTCCATGGGGGTCCATTGGGGTGCATTGGGGTGCATTGGGGTGCATTGGGGTGCATTGGGATGCATTGGGGTGCATTGGGGTGCATTGGGGTGCATTGGGGTGCACTGGGGTCCATTGGGGTGCATTGGGGTCCATTGGGGTCTATTGGGGTCCATTGGGGTTCATTGGGGTGCATTGGGGTGCATGGG